CCAGCTAGCAAAGATGGGGAAGCATGACCCCAAGAGGTCTCTACTCTGTCTCTGTCTCCACAATGGTGCCCTTGTGACTCCATACTATAGTACATTTTAAAACTCATGATCTTAGTTTGCTACGAATTGAACTGTGTTCGCTTAAAATTCATATGTTGAAGTCCAACCCTCCAATGTGATTGTGCTTGAAGATGATAATGAGATTTACATGAGTCCATGAGAGTAGGGCCCCCAGATGAAATTAGTGCTCTTTTTCTGCAAGAAGCACCAGAAACCCCAGGGTGGTCTCTGCAATGAAAAGATGTAGAGGAAAAGCCGCTACTGTTATTAATGTTACCACATGAACCATGTATCTCAAAGAGAGAAAAAATATTCCTCCTGTGTAACTGAGACCTTATATCTTCTCACTAGCAACTCTTTCACACCCCTCACCTCTGGCAACCATCATTCTATACCCTACTTTTAAGAGTCCTATTATTTTAGATTCATGGTGTTTATCTTTCTGTCCCTAATTATTTTGCTTAGCATGTTGTCCAATTTTATGCACAGAAGTAGTCTATGTCTGCTTTCTATCCTACAGAAAAAAAAAATCAAAATTTACATACCTGTTCTGGATTCCAGTAGAATCATTTTTTAAATCAAAGTAAATGACACCAATAACCAGTCCCAGTACGATTGTGACAATTATCTTTTCAGAAAGAAAAATGAAATTAAAAGAACTTTAATTACAGGTAAAAAATTTTTGCATGTCATTGATTATTATAACATATATAGCTATAGAATCAGATATATCTATTGAGATGAATACTTTAAATGGTATGGCTAGTCAGTCCCTCCTTGGAGAATACAAAACAGTATGTTTTTAGAATGCTTTCTAGATGAACTGAAAATCAAGGCATCTGTTGTTTGGACAACAGAGCAGACACTGGAAAAGCTAAGATTTCCCCTAGTGCTCCATCAGGGCGTCAGGTTCTGGCCCCCAAGTTCCATTCAGGGTTTGCAGAACACAGCAGACATGTGATGAAGTCATTTAAAGAATAAACCAGAGTTCAAGTGGCTGAGATTTGACTTGAAATGAACTTTCAGTCTTTGTGCCAGTGAACAGGCACAATTTTTACACAAAAGGCTGATGTGAAAACAGGATGTCTTTACTCTTAACAGTAAAAATAAATAAAAATTTAAAAGCACACATACACACAAATTCTGACAATGGAATTTTCATGACAAGGAAGTAAGGGTGAGTGTACCCCACCTATGTAATCTCCGGGGAATTCGTGCCTCTATGAGAAAGCATATTGTCACTGTCACCAAAGCATTCAGCTAGCTTCCTCTGGGGCACCCCGAAACCTCCATTATCTATCTCCTCCATCACTGCTTCTACATCCACCTCAGCCAGTGAGGTGTGCAGTCAACATAGCACATCTGGCTGCTGATCCTTGCCATCCTGACCTACCTGCAGCTATCCAATCTGTGCTGATGGCTCCCAAGGAGACTGGACCAGCATCACTTTTGGTTTTAGGTGAAATGTTTCTCAAAGATGTTTCAATTGGCAAGGGTTAAGAATTACATTATGGTGCAACTTATTTGAGGTATTCTACTTATTATTATTCATAAGGTAATTAGAGAGATGTAGAAAATAGTAATCTGAATTAAAAATCTGCTAGGATATATTTTGGAAGCATCAATGCTAAAAAAAAAAAAAACTCAATACTACAACAGCATCAAGACATGAAATAATTTGTGAAGGACCTTTTTGGCAAGAAGCAAGGTAAAGTAGAAAAACAGAATCACAATCAATGATGCTCATTAGGGAACACTAGAATCTAGAAAAAATTCTTCAGTGTTTGACTGTGAGATAACCTTAAAAATCCCTTTGCTAATGAGACAGAAATTTAGGGGGAAAAAAAATCTATTACCCTAGCATATTTTCATTATCATTCAGAACACATTCCACTTCATTGCAGCAAATCAAGCTTCCAAAATAAATGCTGATGGCTGCATCAACAGGCAATATACACACGTATAGGAGAGTCTATACTTTCACACAGTATAACTTTTTGGGATTTTCAGTCTTTCAAACTAAACATGCCACCTTCTGTTTCTTTTGCATTCAAGCTTATGTTAACACTGTGAGTAGTATGCTTCCTAACAGTTTCCAAGTTCTATAACTAGGCTGGCTGCAGTGGCTCATACCTGTAATCCTAGCTATTTGGGAGGCAGAGATTGAGAGAATCACAGTTCGAAGCCAGCCTCAACAAAAAGTTCACAAGATCCTACCTCAATCAATAAAAAGCTGGGCACAGTGGCACATGCCTATCATCCCACATACATGTAAAGTGTAAATAAGAGAATTGTAGTTCAGATTGGCCTGGGCATAGATGTGAGACCTTATTCCAAAAAATAATGAAAGCAAAAAAAGGCTTAGTATTGCTCAAGTGGTAGGTAGAGCACCGGTCTCTTAAGTGTGAGGCCATGAGTTTAACCCCAGTACTGTCAAAAAAACCAAAACCAAACAAACAATAAAACTACTTGCAATCAGCTTTCAAGCATATTGAGCAAATAATGAGTCCCTCGATCATGTCTCATGCTTTTGCAAGGTACACCTGTGTCATTCTTTCTTGCCTAAAGAAAAAGAAAAGGACCAGGCAAACAAAGTATTATTCAGTAAAGCAAGTGACCCTATCTATGAGCTTTGTGCACCTGGCCTCTGTTTGGAACAGAAGGGTAAAAAGAGAAATCCTCCAATATGTTAATCTGTCTTTGTTTGAATGTGCTTAAATAGCTTTTCTTCAGGTGCATTCTGAGGAATGTTTGTGCTGTCATTAAAAAAATGAATTCATAGTCAGATGTTTAATATGCTAATGACTCTCAGATTACTGACAATGTCTTCCAAACTGATTTCATCTGAAAACCTTTGCTACATGAAATGAACACTAAATCTTTGTATACAGATAATCCATTCATTCCAAGATTTCCAAATACAACCTCTGGCAAAGGCCGCGGTCTGAATCATGTAAATAAATAACTACTTAAGATCAAAGTACAGCTATAAGACAATAGATAACAAGATTTATCAGCAGAAAGCCATAAAACATTTCAACAACTCCATATTTAGAGAAATAAAAAACAGACATTAAGAACCCTATGCCAAAGGTCTCAACCTGACCCATTGGGCAGATAAGCCGTGTGCTAAGAATGGTTTTCACCGATTTTTACAAGCTGAGAGGATGGAGGAAGCCAAGGATATTATTTCTTACAATATGAAAGTTTTTAAGTGAGAATGATAGTAAAGTTTATTAGGGAAAGAATAACTTTCAATAGAGTCTCCAGAGTGAGAACTAAAACCATAGAAATTTATATGAAATTGAAATTTCATGTCTGTGGATACTGAAGTTTTATCGGAGCACAGTCACGTTCAGTTGCTTTTGTATTTGCTTTGGCTGCTTTCACACTAAAATGGCAGGATTGACTACCTGACTCAAAGACCTGCACAGCCTAAAATACTAATGTCGAGGCCCTTTACCAAAAAGGTTTTGCATAGTCTCAAGTTAACATTCCAGTGGTTAGAAAGCTGACCAAGAGTTGTCCCACTGAGCTTGGGGATATGAAAGGCTCTGTCCTTAATTCTAGAGACTGCTGCCACGCTCAGCATTGCCCCAATTCCCTTTGTGGAACTGAAATCACCAATGAGGACAGAAGGCTGAACATTCAACCCTGGCCTTAGGCCAGGTGTTTGCATCATAAGGAAACCTAGCAAAAAAGAGCTGTTTCACAAATAGCTGTGTTCTGATAAGGCCTTCCCCAGAACTACCATGTGTCTTGGACAAAAACCATACAAACTACTTTTACAGGCAAGTAAGAAAACCCTAACACTAATCTCACTAAGTGAAGCAACCCATGGGGATGAGGGTGTAGCTCAGTGGGTAGAGCACATACCTAGCATGCATATGGTCCTGCTTCTGATCCCCAGCAACACACGCACATTGAGTGAAAGAATAAATCAATCAACTCATGACTTCATCTCAGTGTCCAACAATGAGTAAGCCAGATTGATGGATCTAACTCAACCTGATTTGTTTCCAAATTACATCAACTTTCTTCTCAGAAATAAAACTTTGCCCTTTACTGACAAGACAGAAAGTTCTGTCTTGGTCTGTTTTGGTTTTGTTTTATTTTGTTTTTTGGTTGTACTAAGGTATGAACTCCTCCAGCCCTGTGCCCATATTTTGACAGATGTCAAATCACAAGGACAGCAAACTTTTGGAGCAATTTACAGTATGACTCAATGAAGATGCAGATTCTCAGATCCATTTGCAAGGCACCATTACTTAAATATAAACGTGATGGTACATGTATTATGAAGTCAGTAGTGTTTCCTTAAAGTCAACAACATTTCATCT